AGATGGAACAGGTTACGACTATTACCAATAGCCGCAGCTTTCTCCATCTCTTTACACTTTTCTACCCACCACTTCTCGCGGTCGTTCCTCAGACTCCTTATGAGCTGGCGTTTCAGGGACTTGCGCGCTGTGTCGTATGTGGTATCCGGAGGAAGGGTTCTGCAGGCTTCCAGCAGGGCAACCGAGGTCGACGATATCCATCGTTTGTGTTTTGAGCTTGTGGCAGGGTCCGACGTCGTTTTTATCGATATATGCATAGCTTCCTTGATTTGCCGGGATCACCGTAACCGGTGTTTGAAGACACTGAGTCATATGGTTGAGTGTCGCGAACAGTGGCGCTCGCGCATCTACTTATTGTTCCTGCAACCTTAGTCCAGGTGAACTCTCTATCTTCTCTTTGACTCCACTTGCAGTATTCTCCCTTCTGTACTCTTATCCTAATGGGCAGTCCTGAGACAGAAGCCAAACCGGCGAACAAAAATGTCTAGTTGACGGTTGCACAAATTGAACTGAGCCGACCGCTAAATTAGGCGGTGGACAGCATACGTGGGGCATTACGGACCATCGAAGACAGTGTCTTGTTAGTACTGCGGTAGGTGGTTGATTATACATCATCATCATCATTGTACAGCGTAATACAGTGAAGCGAAGTTCACTGATCGCTGCCAAACTCATACTGCATACAATATAAGTGAGAATGTGTAAGGAGGATGGGGATTGGACTTACTTTTAGGGACGGGAAAAGAAAGCGAACCTATATGGTCAACACACAGATTACACTGTCAAACTGCGCATACACACTATTTCAAGTATTCTAGTCTGATAAGAAGTGACAGCAAGCTCGCCATTGCCGTCGGTTCGCAACCACGACCTTCAGTGTCTCAAACCATGCAGTTTCGGAGTCTTTTGAATCCCAACCCGGAAGACGAGAGACACCTACTCTACCTAATCGCTCTGTGCATTTCTTTATGCCTCGTCTCCACGTCATCTGCTGGCCTCCACCTATAACAGCCACTGCAAACAAGGCGCGCTGCGATAGGCGACCGTCGGACATACGCAAAACGTGTCCTAACCAACCGAGCCCATTGAGCAGGATTCGATGCGACAGTGACTTTTTGTTCCATGCATTCTCAAACACCCGATGACTTACTTCTAAGTTACTAACCCGCTCAATTCATCCCACTTGGGTCAGACGCCGTAAGCATCGATTGTCGAACACTGCTAAACGACGGGTGTCTTCTACCCGCAAATTCAAGGTCTCACAACTGTAAAGTAGAACTGATCGTACGGTGGCGCCGTATACGAGACTTTTCAACCTTAGTGACACGTCACGTCGCCGCCACGGGCGTTTTAGTCCTGCGTACGGTGCTCAAGCCTTGGAAATGCGGGCGGTTATCTCATTTGATGCGCTACCGTCGTTGGTCAAGCAGCTACCCAAGTATAAGAGGCAGTCAATTTCAGCTAATTCCTGACCGTCTAGTTTCCGAACAGAACTCGAACTTTGGCGAGTGACGAACAAGTTGTATGAGGGAATGTTAAGGGTTGGAAGAAAGGGTAAAGGGAGAGGGTTGAGTATGGAAGATAAAGAGTTAAACAACGGTTGAGATATCTGAGCAGTAGCCTACTTATCACTACCCACCCTGCTCGATGCACTGAGCAGCGCGGCCCTGATTATCCTGCGGGAAGACCAATGCAGTATGGAATTATTTTTTGTTTGTGTTTGTATTTGAGTTTAATGGACGGGTACTGCTAGGGTGTCCAGCCACTAAGCAGGAGAACGATTAGGGTTCTCGTCCAAAGCCTTTAGTTCTGACAAGAACCTAACCGCAAGGCAGCGGGTGAAGCGAAGTAGAGGCCTATTTACTTGGATCAATTACCCCTCTACCATTTCACCGACTGAGACGCTAACTCGAGTCGAACGCCCAACCTGGAGGACCAGGAGATTGAACTTCGTTTGACCTCTACCCATTGACCTTCCAGGCATGATGACATCTGCGGCTTGACAAAAGCTATCCTGTGTAGCTCATTGGGTCACAGAGGTGCATAAGCCATCACACCACGTCAATGTGCAGTCTCGTTGTGATTATACATACCCCATACTTACTGTTCAAAACGCAGTAACATTTCTGAGACCGCGATGATCGAATACAAAACGATATTGGTCAGTCTCAGTGAGAATGGTCACGTAGTGGGGAGCAAACTGTTGCACTGTATTGTACGCTTCAGAGGATCGACAGTTGCAATGACACCAAAGGGGGAAGGGGTTGCCGATGAACAACAGGGTGATTTGCCAGTTGGTTCTGTACTCAACAAAACTGTTAGCTAGCGTTATAGCACTGAGCAGTCGGCATAATAATATTTGGGTAAACGAAATTTTGGACTGCAGTTCACCTGACCACCGTCATTTAGGCTGGCTGGAGAAACAGGTACAACGGAACTTTCAGCCGATGAGCAACACCAACACGGTCGCCGTAAACATTATACTGAAACTGATCCGCATAAAGCTGATGGTTCGTCCTATGTGTCAAGTAACATGTGCCTCATTCGTTTGAAAAGTTCGCAGAGATAGATACAATTTTTCACAAACAGAAATCATAAATGACCGACCAAATGCTACAAAAGGTTCTAGTTTTCAGAGTAATCGGAATCCAAGGTTCGAACCCCATCACCAAACTTGGCGATAGATAACTTCACTTCCAGCCAACTTGATGCCATGCATATCTTAATGGGGGCCCTATGTGGTTCACCACTCGAGATCCCGGAGCTTTGATTGTCGGTCACCCGGAGTCAACAGTAACCCCTCGTGACGATGCGGTTTAATCTTTTTGGTGTTCATCACACAATGGCGAGTAATAAAAACGTAAACCAGTTCTTACGGGATGATATTCACGGTGTCCTTGGTTAAAGTAATTCGTACACGAGGACAAGAGCAAAATCGGCGGATCTTGCACGACTAGCATCTAAGTGAGAGGATAAAACGAAAAGAAATGCAACACAGCTTTGGTATAGGATGGTGGAGTGGGTGACAGACGGAACATAACTTACTCCCAAGCGATATTTGCCGGGCATTAGAGAATTCTGACTTGTGCAAATCAAACCGGTCTGAGTGTCCACATCAAACACAGTAGCGGCGGTGGTGGCGGCAGCGGATGTAGCCGTAGCTGCGGGTGTGATGATGATACCAGACGACTCGGCCGATGAGGTCATAGTGTCGCGCCAGTAAAACACGGTCCCGTTTGCCAAATCGTCCAAATCGCTGGCAAACACGCGACCAACGCAACCGCCAGATTCCTCTGAGGATAAACAGACCGAAAGTTAGATAAGTAGGAAAGACAGCATTGTGCGTGAGTGTGTGTAAAATATGGCATCGGGGGTAAAACGATTCGAACTTTGGATAAGAAACACCTACGAACTCCCAGACAGAAGTGATGGGAATCCAGACTGGAGACTGGAAAAGAAAGAAGTGAATGAGAAACTGACGTGGACAGGGACATTTAACCGATAAAAAAGAACTGGCAGGCCGCACCCGATGGGAAAGTGAGCACGTGGATGCACAACCGATGAATGTGAACAGTCTGTCAGTGTATGTCTATACAATGGGCTGGTTCACACACGCAAGAAACGTATACCATGCCATAAGCACTAGAAATACGGTTTCGGCTGACGATGATGATGACACAGTGATAAAAAAATGTGTCTAGCTCGACGATAGTGCGAAAACGAAGCTGACTAAAACGAGCTACGAGAAACAATTTTATCAACGCAAACATACAAGCATACTGTCCGGTGAGAAGCTTTAGGAAAAAATTCCGGAAGACTGTGTTGCAAAGATGGACCGATCAGTCGGGCTTGTACACCACAACTAACCCAAGCATTGTTTTTCGTACACAAACGCGGACACATTTGTGTCATACAGGCGTTTGATAAGCTACGTACCCATCGAATGTAAAGTGATAAAGTGTTGGTAAAGGGGAGGCAAAGAAATTAATCAAAGAGTATCACCCAATAAGGGAACAATCTGATGAGTGTTCGACAATAATGATCAGGAAACCTCGCAAATATCGATAGCATCGTTCTTAATTACGTTAATCTAGTTGGATGATTAACAAAACAAACAGGTGTCAGACAGATGGTCCAAGTGAACACGACGAATAAGTTAAGACGAAACGCGTTGTTGTTGACGGGGTGGATGGGTGGGGTAGGGTGACTGAATGTGTCCAAATTGGTCCACAGTATGACTCATGACAAATGGGCACAGGTAGTGGTGAATGATTGATTACTACAGTCAAGAGGGCGAATTGGACCGTGCACCGATAGATCAAGTTCCTTTTGGGTTTGTTACGTTCCCTGCAATATACGGATACGGACTAAAATGTGACGTTGACTTATCGATTGCACGAAGCCCAAATATCAAACAGCAAGACCACGAGGTGGAACGTAACAACTCTAAAGCAAAACGCTACGTTTCCATAATTCGAAAGTTATGTGGGAATAAATTTGTAATGTGATTAACAGTATAATCACTGAAAGAGGAGAGAAAAACAATTAGATGAGTATGGAAAATTGGGAAAAATTGCCTACATCCTCATCGTATCCCGCAAATTGATCAAACCGAAAAATACAAATAACCCGAGTGGTGGAGGATTGCTTTCAATGAATTTCGTCATGTACCAGAGCAAATTAATCTGAGAGGAGCGAGGTATGATGCGTGTATAGCTCCCATCCCTCACATATGGCAGCGATCAGTGAATTTCGCTGTAAGATGATGATAACGATTTGTGCATGTCACTCCCAACCTTCCACCCGCTCCAAACACGGACCTATTCCATCTCGCAATATCTGATTGCAGAAACCCCTTGGTACCCAAATCTCGCGCGGACTATGATTGACAAGGAGTGTTCGTTTTGAGCTTTTTAAAGCATTTCGCAGCTGATCCACATTTTTGCACGCTTGATGTCCCGCTCTTTATCATTTTTTCCAGTTCTGTAACGGTGGTTTCTTTTTGGTTGAAAGCTAGTGAATAACTTGCTAACGCTTTAAAACATACGCATGCAAGTCCACTAGCCTCACAAAGATGGGTCGTGCTATATCCTGTATAGGAAAAATTAAAAACGGTCTGATCTGCTACCCGATGGCCAGGTGAGTAATATGCTTGCATTCTACCAGTGACGTGCCGGGTTCGATACCCAGTTGGGTCGATGGATTCGTACCCAACCCGGTCGAAAAACCTGCAGAGTGCTTGCTAGCTTTTCATTTAACGCCTTATTTGCTCTGTACGGAACCGAATTCATCACAAAATAGAAATTAATGATGTAAAGTAATTGGGCCAAAGGCAATCTGCCTACACAGCGTTTGGTCGACACAAGCGGGATACCAAGCTGTGCTTAAAAAGAACAAAGGTAAACTCCTTGTGTCAGGATGCCATTCTTTGTAATCATATTCGTCTGATCTTTATCATCTATTAAAAAGCGGCTGATAAAAATCCCCAATTTCGCCGCCCTCGGACCGATCAGCTTATATGAATTAGTGCATTACCTGACCGAGTTGCTTCTTTCCGTTCTACTAATAGATAGACTATAAGAATATTTGCCCCCCTCCACCCAAATCGACACAACCCATGTACAGCACAAGGCGAAATGATGAGCGAACAGAATACTCAAAGCAGAAAACGAGGACGGGCTTTGCACCACTAGTAGACCGGATACTACGGCAAGATAACTAGAAACAGTGTACAGCACGTACCAAGATCGGCGGAGTAGACACGGAAATTATATGTCGGATTGGGCTGGTGTGATTCGGGCTTGGTAGGTTTCGGGCCGAGGGGGACAAAATGAGGCGCCTGATCGTTTTCATCAAGGACGTGAATACGCACAGCCACAGTGCACGTTTTCGGAGGTTGTCCGCGATCTGATATAGAAACCTGTTTGGGGATCGAAAAAGTTTCAACCATGAGCTCTTGTGTCGAAAACGGACAAGACTACACGTGCTGAATGTTTGAAAGCAGTCTGTTGAGTCGTTAATCAGTTAGCATGATCGCATAACAACGTTTCACTCTTGTGACAACGCATTCACCAGGAGAAAAAAACAATGTACACCAGCTTTCGGGAAATATATTTTAACCTGGTTTTCCCGATGCAATGCGGGAATCAGTAAGTAAAAACTAGTGATATTCCTCAACTGTCTCTCTCTGTGTGAACGGTATTTCTTTTGAGATAAAATTATATCGTGAATGCGATAGGTTCAGTAGTCTGATAAAATATTAATAAAAATCGTTTGTTTCATCAACGAATGTACAAATCATCATCTTCAGCAGCCTACAGCAAAATATAATAGAATGATCTTTGATAATCGCCGTCAAACAAAAAAATAACTACACACTGAGTCTGAAGGTGTGCAGTGGATCTGTTTTGAAGGGAAAATAAATAAGTTAAGAAAGAGTACACAACCTAACTGTGCACCTGTTTAAATATTCTGACTTGACAGGAAATGAAAAGAACACCACTACTGTCGGATCACTGCCCTGATCTTCAAACTCTCCAACCGCTACAGGTATAGAACCAACATTCAAGAAGGGAGCCGCGCACGTTAATCAAAGACTGTGAAACAATAACCGAGAAAGCAGAATGATGATGGTGACCGAGATTGGGTTCGAACACACACCAGTGGCGATCAGACCACCACAGGCACTTTAACGCGATAACCTCGACACACACCGAGAGAGAGAACATAATTACGTAGATGAGGTTAGTCCGCATGATTCGTTTGAGAATTATAAAGAACGACAGTCTTAGGGTGAAAATAGTGCAGAGAAGCACATGATTGAGTGAGGCAAGAATAGAAACGATCGGTGTGTGAAAACTAAGTATGACGTGACAATGAGTCAACATATTGTTTACACCTGTTTATGTCGACCGCATCACATCTGTATTGCACAAACAAGGTGAACGGAACGTGAAGACAGCAGTTAGAGTTTGTTAAATTTACGCGACCAAACCCGGGAGAAATCTGGACAGATGAATGCCTCGGGCCACAAACCACAAACGAACGGGATTCGGTAGATCCCTAAGGCTTTGCGGCACCTCTTGTATCCGTTTTGTTTTCGGTATTAGCGCGGCAGTCCTTGAGAGTTAGAAAACAAACCGGAATCAATGCACGTTACTATCTTACCTCCATCACCGCCACAGTGGCATAACTAATGGTGGTTGTGTGGCAATGGTGGTGTTTTAACTACCTGCGCGTCAATCAACACTGCGGACACGTGGACTGCTGACGGATCAGAGCTGGTTCGGGCAGACAAAAAGTTTCGTTAGACGGCATTGGCAATCGCTCGCATACAAACAAACAGAAACAGCCATAATGACTCATCTGACGGACCAGAATGGGCTGTGAACACTGCAGACCGGGTATCCTTTCAGCTAAACGTAAATCGGTACCGGTCAGACAGATATGCGGTCCGCTCTCCCATAGAAATGAAAGGAAAATTATGAGATGACGATTGGCGTGTGCGGGTGTGCGTGGGTCCTCTCTCTCTATCCGGCCGTCAGCAAACACACACACACATGTAGAAATACAAACCGACCGAAAGATGTATTGCTCGTGGCCTTAGT